CTCCATAGCACCTCTCTGTTCCATCCCTTCTCTGAGGCAGATTGCTTTCCTTAACAGACTAGAGCTGCTGCAGTCCTCTTCTCTGCCTCTTCTTCTGTCTTCATTTTGAAAATTATGAACTCAGTGCTGCACAAGCACAAACATTCTGATTCATAAAGTATACAAAAAGACAGTGGTGGATAAAGCTATAAACTCTTATTCCATGTAGTTCATTTGTTACAATATTACATTTAAGAAGGTAATAATAAAATTATTCAGTATCCCCTTCTCATGTTTTTGTTTTCTTTTATGTATTTTATTTTTAAATGTGTTATTGCTACTCTGTTCTTTTCCCCCCCTTAATTGCTATCACTTTCTCCAAAGGCAGCATCATATAGTGGCCACAGAGGGGTTGAGAGATAGGAAGGCCTGGGTTCAAGTTCAACCTCTGACACATACCTGCTCTTTGACCTAAGACACAACACTGAACCACTTGGCCCAATAGGCAGCTCTATAAGACGAGAAGTTGCAGAGAAAGTCTTGACCTGCACTGGTAGAGGGTGTTTGTTCATCTGAGAATTCCTTATAGCAACGAAGCCAAAGGTCCAGTCTCCTTCGAGATTTTAACAGTTATTCTTTGGAGTAGAAGAGGAAAATAATACTTATCCTTTTGTAGCCCATTGACAGATGACTTGTGCTACTTGTTTCCAGGAAAAAGGTTTTGGCTTAGTATCCCTGGAAATTGATTTCCTGTTTGGTGTTATCCTTGAGGATGTATCTTCCCCTCTCTGTTCCTTCAAATCCAAGATATTCTTTTTAATCCCAGTGTAGGTTTCATCATGCACAGTATTCCCACCGTCTAAGCAGTCAAATGAACTAGTTTTTCCTAAATCCTACTCAGTAATCCATTCTACCATAATATAGAATATCCCTCAGTGGTCCTTTGTGCTATCCTTGAGGTCTTCCTAGCATGCCCACTTGAGGGTTTGAACTGGCTTTGAATTCTTTTATTACGTTTTATAGATGCTCTTTTAAAAAAATGTAATTTCTTCTCCCTCTGCCACCTAAAAAAAAAAAAGAAAAAGAAAAAAAAAAACGCTACTTCTCCCTCCAGCCAGCCCATTAAGGTTCTCTTGGTTGGGGGAAAAAAATCTCAGACGAAATGAGCTAACATAGTGCCCTTCATGGTGTAACGTACATTCAGCACTCTTATTCCCCACCTTTCTACTAAGAATTGGAAGGAATATTTCATCTATCTGTTCTATGATGGAACTCCAAGATGACTCCCTAGCTCTTTTTCCTTTTCAGCAAACAGGATTTGCAGTTTCCAAACCAGATGTGATCTACCAGTTGGAAAGAAAGGAAGCGTCTTGGATGCCAGAGGCAGATGTTCCCAGAAGCAGCTGTCCAGGTGACTTCATAAAAACCAAGCAGTTGGGTCATTGCAAAATAGTGATCTGTTGGTCATTTTAGGTCAAAGCTCTTGTAAAATGTTGAACAGAATGGTCTATCAAAGCTTCTTAGATCTATTGAGAGGAGCTGAGACTTTAAAACTGCATTTTTTTTACCTCAAGAACTTACTTTTTTTTAATGTATCTCTTTATGGCACTATACCTCCACTCTCAAAGAAAGTTGTTGCCTCTCTACAAGGCAGTTATTTCTCTTCTGTTCATTGAAGATTATCTTATCTTCAGCAGGTATTCTCTGCCTCACTTGCATGAATTCATCCTCCCTTTTAAATTTGAAAACATTAATATTTAGTTATTATTTAATAACTCAATCAACTCATCAACTTAGTTATTCAATATTAATATTGAAATAAAACTTTAACATATTAAGTAATGTGCTCTTTTTGCTTCCCATTTCTCTTCTGATACTTTCTTTTGTTTTGTTTTTGTGATTATGTTGCTTTGCTGCTGTTAGTTTTAAAAATATTTAATCCTAACCTAATTCTCATTTTTTCAGTCTGTCATGTTATGTGTCATTCTGTTTTTCTTTATACTTTGAAATCATATTATATATAAAGGCACAATAATGTGTTCATATGACTTGTTTAACCATAACCCCATCATTGGACTTACAGGTTTTCGTTATTTTGCGATTTCACAAAAAGCTATTGTGAACATTTTAGGGAGAGTTCTTTGCTTTCAGTAATATTTTGAGGATGTAGACCTGGTAATAGGACCATTGGGTGAAATGATATGAATAATTTTGTAGCTCTAAAATTGCTATATTACTTTTAAGAAAAATGGCAGCAGTAGTTTAATAAGTAGCTAATTCGACGTAAGTGCCAAAAGTTATCATTTTAAAGAATATTCGCTAATCTGGTGGCTATTTATTGACACCTGTCAGTTGTTTTCATTTTTACTTCTTTGATTACCAGATTTTGACTAATGTTTCAGGTTAATATTAATAATTTCTCTTGTCAGAAACACTTGTCTTACTCTTACAAATTTTAATCAATTCCTTACAAAGTAGATGTGTTGGATTTTTTGAGGAAATTTATGGCAACAATTGTCACATTTTCCCCCTCATATTTTTTGTTTATTCTCTTTACTTCATGTATTTATTCCTTCTCCCCACTCTAAACTAAGTTCTCTGTTTCCTTTCTGTTCAATCTTTTCCCTTCCTATTTTAAGCTCATCTGCTAAGACTACATTTGCAAGTTCTCAAAGTCATGTTTTTTTCTGAATAGTCTCATTCCATTCAAATGACAACCACTTAAAGTAGAATTAAGGGTTAATTCATCCTTCCTGGTAATTTCATCCCAAGTGAATTCATTTACATATTTTACCTTTGAGCATACTTGCACATAAGATAAACTGATTCTTAGTGAAAGACTAGTAAGACTAGTCACCTCAGGTGAGAAGGCAAGAGAAAAGCTCTGTTGCGGTTTCTTGGTGTGTTGTGGCAACACCATCTCAAAGAATTCAGGGGCAGCTAAGTGGCACAGTGGATAGAGCACTGGCCATGGAGTCAGGAGGACCTGAGTTCAAATGTGACCTCAGACACATAATACTCCCTAGCTGTGGGACTCTGGGCAAGTCACTTAACCACAATTGCCTCACCAAAAAATAAATATATTAATTAAATAAATAAAAAATGAAAATAAAAATATCAAAGAATTCAGACTCAGACCACCTCTAATCCAAGTACTGGCATTTATTGAGGATTGACGTCCCTCAGAAGTGGGCTGGGTTCTAAGAGGAACCAGGAACTTCAGAGAAAGCAAGATGGATTTTTATAGGGTAAGATGCAATGATGAATATTAAAAAGGCAGGAGGGATTTGTTAAGGGATTAGGTAATGGAGCGGGGGTCCCTTCTAGATTTTGGTAGTCAAACATCCTGGTTGTGCTGCCCTCTGATTGGCTAGTTTTGTGGTCCTATCTGGTCAAGATGGATAGTTAGGTACCATGGGCCTGTCTTGGGCTAAACGGATGATGTGATTATGACTGAGTACAAGAATACACCTGTTCGAATATGTGAATTGGATCTAGGGGAAGTGGCTAGCTAGGGCCAGTGGCTATATTAAGTCTGGGGCCTGTGGTGTGGTTAAAGCCAGATTAGGTGGTTAAATCAGGACATATCTGCCGTTCAGTGAGGCCTTTAAGGAAGTTAGAACATTGGGGCTGGGGGCAGATTGATCAGCTCTAAAATCTTTGAGCAACTAAGAACCTTGGGAAAGGGGGAAAAAAAGGCATGGTTAATCAGCTCTTTATTCTTCCTTTCAGAGAGCAGAGAATTTACTGGAGATAAACCTCCTGAATGTAAAGAATATGGGAAAGCTTTCAGGAGCAAGAATCATCTTGCTGTACATCAGAGAATTCATACTGGGGAGAAACCTTATGAATGTAGTGAATGTGGGAAGTCCTTCAGGATTAAGACAAAACTTTCACTGCATCAGAGAATTCATCCTAGAGAGAATCTTTATAAATGTAATATATGTCGGAAGGCCTTCACTTGGAAGGGACGTCTTACTTGGCATCAGATGATTCATACTGGAGATAATCCTTATAAATGTAGTGCTTGTGGAAAGGCCTACAGGATTAAGAGAGAACTTCGAATGCATCAGAGAATTCATACTGGGGAGAAACCTTATATATGTAGTGTATGTGGAAAGGCCTTCAGGATTAAGATACAGCTTACACTGCATCAGAGAATTCATACTGGGGAGAAACCTTATAAATGTAGTGTATGTGGGAAGGCCTTCATGTGGAACGGAAATCTTACTCGACATCAGATAATTCATACTGGAGATAATCCTTATGAATGTAATGAATGTGGGAAGGCCTTCAGGATTAAGATACAGCTTACACTGCATCAGAGAATTCATACTAGAGAGAATGCTTATGAATGCAGTGAATGTGGAAAGGCCTTCTGGAAGAAGTCACATCTTACTGAGCATCAGAGACTTCATACTGAAGAGAAACCTTATGAATGTAGTGAATGTGGGAAGGCTTTCAGGACTAAGTCAGGGCTTACTGTGCATCAGACAATTCATAGTGGAGAGAAACCTTATGAATGTAGTGAACGTGGACAGGCCTTCAGGGAGGAGTCACATCATACTAAGCATCAGAAACTTCATACTGGAGATTTTCTTTATGAATGTAAGGAGTGTGGGAAAGGTTTCCTGTACACCTCAGATTTTACACGACATCAAAAAATTCATACAATAGAGAAACCTTATGAATGTAGTGAATGTATGGAGGCCTTCAGGAGTAAGACACTACTTTCGGTGCACCAGAGAATTCATACTGGGAAGATGCTTTATGAATGTAAGCAGTGTGGGAAGGCTTTTCCCTGCAACTCAGCACTTATTCGACACCAAAGTATTCATACTGGAGAGAAACCTTATAAATGTAGTGAATGTGGGAAGGCTTCAGGATTAAGACAAAACTTAGTGAACATCAGAAAATTCATACTAGACATAATTCTTTTTGAATGTAAGGAGTATGGGAAGGCTTTCCCCCACAATTCAGATCTTAATCAACATCAAAAAATTCATACTGAAGAGAAACCTTATGAATGTAAAGAATGTGGGAAGACCTTCAGAGTGAGGATATAACTTACTCAGTAACAAAGCATTCAGGAGAGATACTTTTTTAAAAAAATTTTGTTTTTAGGAGAGAAATATTAAGAGAGGAATGCATGTAGAAAGGGCTTTAGACTGAGGACAATGCTTGTCCATCAGAGAATTCATCCTGGTGAGATTCCTCATGAATGTGAGGAGTGGGGGAAGGCATTCCATTGCAATTCAGATCTTATTAGACATCAAAAATTCACGCTGGAGAAAAACCTTATGTATGTAGTGAATGTGGGAAGGCCTAATTTATACCTTATGAATATAATGTACAAGGGAAGGCTTTCCACCTGAATGTATCTTTTACTCAACATCAGAGCATTCATCCTGGAGAGAGACCTTACAAATGCAGTGAATGTGGGAAGACCTTCAGCCCGAAGACACAACTTGCTCAGCATCAAAGAATTAATTCTGGAGAGAAATCTTTTCAGTTTGGGAAGGTTTTTAGACTATGGACACTACTTTAGGTCCATCAGATGATTCATACTAGAGTGATTCTTCATGAGCATAAGGAGTGTGGGAACATCCCCCCAGCTAACTAGACTGTGATTCTGAGTCCCTAGATGGAGTTCAGAGAGTATTTAGGCTCCCTGGGAGAAGAAGATATTCCTCCCCTCTGCAGAGGCCTCTAAAGCAGGAAAAATTTAGTGTCATTCTCCCATGGGTCTTTAGGGAGGGAGATGTGCTGGCTGAGCTAGAGGTTACTTAGTGAATGGTGGTATTGGGAGAGCCTTAGTATCTATTTTGATCCCTGGAAATGTGGCATGCAAGATGCTTGGGGATGACCTCTTGGCCACGAGATGAACCTGAGCCTAATATGTGATGAA